CTAAGTTCCAGACCTCAGAGTGAGGAGCCCCTGAGGTCTGTCCTGGGGACCAGGACTCCAGGCAAGCTGGAAACCCTGTCCCCCAAATCTAGGGGCTGTACCATGTAAAGCAGCTGCACACCTGGCTGTCACTCAATCCCCAGGCCCCTTCTCTGCCCATCCCACGGGCACTGGGTGGGTGGCCTCCTCTCTCCCTTCCCCACCACCTCCCACTCCCTCGAAGGTCACCAGAGCTGGAGGATGAGCGGGTGCCGTTGGCCGTCCGCTAGGACTAGCCCTCTTGTAGGCCACCGCCACCCTACAGCCAGGTGACACTTGTAGCCTGGTGACATGGGGAGGGGGGCCCTGCCCAAAGGCTCGGAGCAGGCGTGGCTGACAGCACTGGCCCAGGCTGGCAGACCCTCCCACCAGCCTGCAAACCCTTGGTGGCCTGGCTCTTTCTCCGCGTCCCTTCAAGGCACACAGGGCTGCCAGGTGGCACTGCAGTAGGGGTTCAGTCAGTGCCACAAACTCCAATGGAATAACCGCTCCTGCTTCCCAGGCCCCACGGGCTGTGCCGAGCACTCTTCCAGCACCCTGTGAGCGTGCGTCAATCATGCCCGAGTTGCCAGGCTACAGAAGGGAAGGGGTCCGCAGTGGGGGGGGATCAGGGTCCCGACCCCACAAGGCGCCCTGCTGTGACATCCAGGGCACATGCTGGCCCACACAAGGCAGACTCAAGCGGCGGAGAGAATGGGCCAGCAGGCGGGGGTCCTGGGTTCGAGTCCTCACTCCACCTGGCTTTTTCTCACGGCCCCTCCGTCTCCTGGCGACACCAGCTCTCCCTTCCCACGTTTCATCCTCCCGGACCCCAGAGCTCCGAAAGACCCTTTGAAAGACTTGCTAATCCATCCCAAAATACGCAGGGCTGTTGCCGGGGCAACCTGGCCCACCACACAGCCCAGATTTAAATATTTAATAGGTTCACGGGGATTAAGGGGGCCTGGGAATGCGCAGGGGAGGGCGCAGGTCTGGGGGAGGCAGAGCAGCTGCACAGGCCCCAGTAGAAGCACCAGAGGGGTGGCGTGGGGACCTAGGTATGCATGAGGCACAGCTCCGTTCCCTTTTGCAGGTAGACAAAGGACACTTACACCACCCCCACCCGAAATGCCTGGTGCCCGGCAGGCATGCTAAATTCTCACGTCTCCCGGAGTTACACTATAATCGCCCAGCCAGCCACGCTGTTATTCCAGATCCACATCTGAGAGGCCGGCATGGGAGAGAGGGGTGGCAGCCCAAGGCCACTCAGGGGAAGGCAGGGCTCTTCCTACTCTACTCCTCTCAGGAGCCAGGGCTGCAAACATAATTGGCCAGCGCACAGGAAGCCCTTTCCACAGTCCAGGCACACGCCAGGGACTGCACAGATCCTACGTCATTGGACCCCATGAGGTGCGCACTGGTGCCCCATTCTACGGATGTGGATGCTGAGGCCCCAAGAGGACTGGCCTGAGTGGACAGAAGTGGACACAAGCGGCAGCATAGACACATAGCCACACTTGGTCACGTTCTTGGCCGAATACAGAGCCATAGTAAACCTCCTAAGTCACCTGGACCATGGTTCTGTCAACACCGAGATTATTTTTATGCACTTGAACTGACTGATTCTCGTAGCATCTTCATAAAGTCGGGCGTGGTGGTGCATACCTGGAATCCCAGCGTTCTGGGAGGCTGAGGCCAGAGGATCGAAAGTTCAAACTCAGCCTGGATGACTGATTTAGGGAGATGCTGCCTCAAAATTAAAAAATGCAAACGGGCTGGGGATGTAGGTCAGTCAGTGTGAGGCCCTGGGGGTCAGTCTCCTAAGGCCCCTGTTTTTTGTTCTTGCTTGCTCCTAACAGCCACCCGATGAGGCAGAGGCGATTCTGTTTCATGGGGAGCTCGTCTGAGGGGCCACAGTGAGGTGATGCCAGGAGACCCACGTCATCACAGTGCTGCTGCTCTCCCCATCCCCCCAGAGCCCAGCAGTTTCCCACCTGCACTTCTCCCTGCAGCCTCCCCAACGGGCCTGTCTGTGGTCAGTCAGGGGACTCCGCAGTCCTGGCCCCCACCTCCTCCCGCCCGAGCAGTGCTGGGGACAAAGCCTCTCAGAACCCAGGCCTGGGGACCCCGAAGCTGCCCCAGAGGCTACTTCTTACTGCACCCCTCAGCCTTGGAGCTGGCTTCCCCGCACCCCATGGCCCAGGGCGGCCACGGCAGCAGAGACAACCCCGCCTGGGCCTCACCCCCACGGGGCTTGCTGCCCCCTGCCATTTGCTTGGCAATAAATCCTGGAGACAGAGGGTCTCCTCAGGGCAGCCGCAGTTGCTTCTTGGCACCTGGCCTAAAGTAAAGGAGGCCGTGTGCCCTTCGTGTGAGAGGGCGGATTGCAGGTACTTGGAGCCCACAAACAGCTGAAAAGCCGAGTGACGATGCCAGAAGTGGCCTGCGATACTCCGGAAATGAATCAGAGACAGAGTGCAGGGCCCCCGGGAGGGCAGGGGGAACTCGGAACCCTGTTTTCTTTCCTTCCCATCACAGCACCCCAGGGGCTCCCTGGAGTCATAAAGATGAGCCACAGCGGTGGGAGGGAGACAGGAGGGACCCACACAAAGGGAAGAGACCCGCTCCATCCCCAAGGCTGGCCACGCTCGCGGGTGACCTGACCCTGCCAGGAGGAGCAGCTTCTCCCCTCGGAGTCCACCGGAAGCCCCACTTCCTGTGACACCGCGATAGCACAGGCTGTGCGTCCCTTATCTGAAATGCACAGGACCGGAAGGGTCCCTGATTTCTGAGTTATCTGGAGTCTGGAATATTTCCATAGACATTACTAGCTGAGCTCCTTAATCCAAAAGGGAAAAATGAAAAACTTTCTGAGCACTGTGTCAGACTGTAGCTTCTCAGATGAGGAGTGCTTGACCTGTCACAGCAGCAGTCTTTATCTTCCGCACCTGTAGATGGGGACAGAGAGTCCCACCTCCTTTGCCCCTGGTATGGCGCTGCGCAGGATGGAGGCAGCTAAGGAAGGGGACGCTCACCGGAAGCGGCCAAGAGAGGATGTGACACACATTCACCAACATCAACACCGCGGACAACTTTCCCTGTGCAGGGCCGGAGAGTCAGTATGCTAGGCTCTGAGGTCACACTTTTTCTGTCAGTTCTGGGAGACAGCAGATGCAGGGTGACAAAATCTCTCGCAGAGCTTGGCAAGAGCTCAGTGTGCCGGGCAGGGGTCCTCCCTGCCCTGCTGAGCCCAGCAGGTGGGCAGATCGTGGGCAAGAGGAGGCGGGGAGCCTGGCAGAGACGAGCCAGTCCTTCCTGGCTAGGAAGGCCAAGACAGTAATGGTGACGCCAGCCAGGATAAGAGTGAACACAGTGCTTACGGCAGGCCAGGTGAGGTCAGAAGAAACACTCTGCATCTATTAGCTCGGTCAAGTTTTGCAACAACCTGTGAAGTGAGTATCAGTATCACGTCCATTTTACAGACCAGGAAACCGAGACAGAGAGGAATAGTAATCTGCCCAGGGTCAAACGGCTATTCAGTCAGCAGCTGCCTCTGGCCAGCTGTGTGATGCTGAGTAAGGAATCTGTCCTCTCTGGGCTTCTCTGGGAAGGCAATAGGCTTCTCAGACTGGCCCGGGGTACTATGCTGGCCCGGGAGATCTTCCTCTCTTGGGCTGTGTGGTCCTAGCCTCTCTGAGCTCTGGTCTCCTCTGTAATCTCTCAGGCCACATGAAACACCTCCAGGGCCGCATGGTTCCATCTCCCTAGGGAGCTCAGCTTGGCTCATCCACAGGGCCATGTGGCCAGGGTCTCGAGCCAGACATTGACACCGCGGCAAAGCCCGGGGCCACTGGTGCATTCTGGGAGGGGCCCACACTCGGCAGGGAAGGTCACAACACACTCACACATGCTCCACTGCTCTTCCGGACACAGACAATCAAGGTGACTGTCACCTGCAGTGTGAGTGAGGCCTGGTCAGGGTGCTGATCCTGGGCTCTGGGAAGGGGGTTCGGGCCAGGCCCTATTCAGGCAACCTGGTGCCCCTTCCATAGCCCTGAGGACTAAGGACAAAGGTGCTGCCCTGGGACCCAGGAACAGGGGTTCAAGGCTACCAGCAGCTGCATGGCGTGGCTGAGCAGCGCCACCTCTGCCCTCCCTCACTCTGAACACGCACACTCACGCTGACCATTTCCAGGCACCGTGGTGGAAGGCAACTGTCAACCCAGCTGGGACAGGGTCTCTTACAGCACCCCACATGTCGGGGCCTGGATCTCAATCCCCGGGCCCTGCCCTGAGAGCGCGACCCCCAGCAGGAAGTGACCGCCTTCATTTAGGGCTCTGCATGGGGGCGCTGGTCTGCAAAGCCACTTTGCCCGAGGTGGCTTCAGGACTGTGGGGACCTGCTGGGAGCAGGGGGCCACAGGCGCCTCGGGGCAGGAAGAGGAAGCCGGAGCTAGGTGTTTCATTTCCCCGTTAATTAAGGAAGAGGAAGACAAAGTTGTGAGGGCGGGTGGGGGACCGTGTGGACCGGAGCTTCTGTGGGGTGCGAGGTGGCAGGGAGCAGGCTTCAGAATGGGGCTGTCGTGGGCCGGCCTGACCGGGTCCCTAGGTGCTGTGTGACCTTGAGTGAGTCACGCCCTGTCTGAGCCCTGGGGAGGTGACTCGGAGGGCGGTGTGTGTGTGTGTGTGTGTGTGTGTGTGTGTGTGTGTGGCTAACCGCCTGTGCAAACCCAGGCCATGTCCACAGAGACCTGATGGGGGATGCTCGGCTAAGGGGACAGTGAGGTAGATGGCGCTGAACTTGGCTGAGGCCGCTGCTGCACCCTGCGCCTCCTCCAGGGCGTGAGTCATCCTGTCTCCGGGGAGGAGACTGGGGAGCGAATCTGCCAAGGAAAGCGTTACACCAGGCCTTCCAAGGTAAACGTCCTGATCTGAGGTGAATTTGAAGCCGGGTGTCGCGGTGCGCACCTGAAATTCCAGCACTCAGGAGACTGAGGCAGAAGGATCATTGGGAGTTCGAGGCCAGCCCGGGATACATAGTGAGTTCCCAAGCAGAAGCTGTGGTGAAGCCCAAGTCTGACTCTGTCTGAGTCCTTCTCTGGCTTCCTCTTTGAGCTGTGACGCCCCGCTCCACCGCCACCACGTGCCTCGATGTGACGCCGCCAGAGGACCCTCACCAGCGCTGAGCCTGCCCGCCGTGCGCTCACCAGCCCGCTTTTTCCTCGAGAGCTGCGGTAACACGCGGCTGACAGGAACGTACCGCCCAGACCGCACAGCACCAAGCGCAGAGGCAGAGAAAACCTCCAGGCCCCGACTCCTCCCCAGCTGGGCCAGCGCCAGCCCCGGGCGGTCACAGGGCCCCTCAGCGGGGACTCTGTGGAGAGGCTGCTGCGATCGCCCTGCTGGGCCAGCTCCACGGAGGAGCTGATCTCTTGGGACACAGAGGTAATGGAGCCAGGCGGGTGACACCGCCGAGGACCTGGCCCTGTCACATGGTGCCTTCTGCAGCTCCTCAGCATAAGCACAGATCGGGAAGCTTCCCAGGTGAGTCGTGGCCCGGTCCTGTGGCCCAGAGGCGACACTCAGGCCAGGCCCGTGTCCCCAAGCGCTCACACCGAGCGCGTCCTTCCCAGGGGCTGGGTCACCGTGCGTGTACCCAGCCTTGTGTCATCCAAGCAGCACCATAACTGTCACTGTCGTGTTACAGACATGGGGCTCCAGGGAGTGCCACCCTCACCAGGGTGGCAGTGAGGAGAGAGGCTGAGGTCCCCCTGTGCCGGCTGCCCATGGGGAAAGAACATGCTGTCCAACTTTCCAGGAGTGGGGACTAAACCCAGGGCCTACGCACTGAGCTACAGCCCCAGTCCTTTTAATTTTTTGTTCTGAAACAGGTGCTTGCTCTGTGGCCCAAGTTGAGCTTGAACTTGTTTGTGATCCTCCTGCCTCAGCCTCCCCGAGCACTGGGATTCCAGGTGAGCACCACCACGCTCAGCTTGGGGTTACCTTTGATTGCAGAATTTGTCAGGAATATGGTCAGAGGGCCCAGGACTAGGTGAAGGGCCAAAAAGGCCCACATCCCCACAGTCCACCACCCAGCCTCTTCCTGCCTAACCCCCTAGGGAGAGGTGAGGCTCAGTTCACTCCGCCAAAATAGCTCTCATCCACTAGGGGAGGAGGGAGAGTGCGGGGAGAGGAATTAGCTTGTGCCAACAGCACAGGGCCCTGCGCGGAGGCTGCCACTTGTCCCCTGCCAGAGACAATGAGCCCTTCCACCATGGTGAGCACATTCCCACCCCAGGACCTTTGTACCTGCTGGTTCTGCTGCCTAGATGCTCGTTTCACCTGACCTTCTGCATGCTTCATTCCCTCTCTTCACTCAGGTCTCTACCCAGTGCCTCACAGAAAAGTTCCCCGGCCCCGTCCAAACAGCCCTACTCCCCAGGCACCATCCCTTACTGGTGACCACTATGGCCAATGGTGTTTTCTCCCAGTTACTTTCTCTTCACCCCCTTTCTGGGGCTGGCAGGAAGACAAGAGACTTGAGTAATCCAGACCAGTGCTGAATCCTAGTGCACGAGGCAGAGTGTGTTATAGAGCGACTGCTCGATGGACGCTTGGGGAAGGGAAGAAGGAAAGGACAAAGGGAAGGAGGATGGAAAATGCCTGCATGGGCTTCTTTCGCATGTTTCCGATTTAACCCTTGCTAAAGCTCTACCCGAAGATGCAGGGCCAGCTACAGCATTGGTGGGGCCCCAAAAAAGGGAGGCAGCCCTTGCTCGACAGTGACTGAGAATTTCAAGCTGGCAGCAGCGCAGAAGCTGGCCGTGGGGAGGTGCCACCATCGACTCCCTGTGCTGTGGAGCGGAGGGAGGATCAGAGAGGGCCGTGGCTGGCACACAGCATGGTCGCAGGCACCACCTTGGGACATGGGCCTCCCCAACCCCACCCCATGGCGGACACGTGTGACTCCACATCTCTGGAAGCCTGGGGTCCAGCCCGGAGAAGACCGTGGGAAACAACGCTCTCCACCATGGTGAGCACATTCCCACCCTCCTCTCTCTAAGGAATTCCGGTGTCCTGGTGGGAGGCGCATAGGTAATCCTGGGGGCCCTGGGCCCCTGGTTTGGGGAGAAGTGCCCCAGGCCTGGTGGGCACCACACTCAGTTTTAAAAGCACCCTCCTGAGGCAGCAGGAGGAGAAGGAAGGGAGGGCCCACCTTCGGGGTGCTTTCGGGGCTGCAGCTGAGACTCCCGGTAACCAAGGAAACGGTGTGGAAAAGTCCTCTCCCCAGCCACTAACCTTCTGAGTTAAACGTCAGCCCAGAACCAGGATTAGCATGCACACAAAGCGAACAGGTAACCAGGGAACTCCGCTTACACACAGGAAGTCCCCACCAAGTGCCCAGTGGTCTTCTGTAACCCTTGGCAACCCCAACCTTAATTACCACGGCACTGACCGTGCAGATCTGACTCCCCTGTGGGCTTCGGGCCACATGACGGCTCCTCAAAGGGCCATAAAAGGTCAGAAACTCCACTGTCAAGCTGCTCACTGGCAGGATGGAGAGCTCAGACCAAACCCTCCATTCCACCTGAGCCTGAGGTTTAGAACTCAGTGCCGAGGCCCCGGGGGCCATGAGCTGTCACTGGCCCCGGCCTACCCCGTAGTGTTATCTTGTCCTCTCCCTTTCGAACACGTCACTGGTCCTGCTGCTCCTTCTGTGTCCTGCTCAGCTCTGTGTTCAGGACCTTGAGAACGCGGAGGAGCGCTCAGGCTGCTACGATGCTCTGGACAGGCCCTCCACAGCCCACCCTGCCGCAGCCGCGGTACCCTGGGCTGGGCGCACCCTCTCCTCGGGGAAATAGGAAGGGGACAGAGCTCTGAGCCTGCACAGTTTAACCTGGGGAGCCCTGGGCACCCCAATGCCCGCACTAACAGGGATGAGAGGAGGACCCTAAAGATGCTCTGACAGCGTCACTCAGGAGAGGGGACCTGCCCTCGGAGGCGTCAGGGGAATCGAGGGTGCAGCCTGTAGCCTGAGCCCCCTCCCCAGGAGGACCGGCAGCACACCACTCTGACATCAGCCTTTGTCCTCGGCCCAGGCCACCCCTCCCAGCCCCCTAAACCAGGCCAGTGGCCATGACTTGAACCCTGTCTTAGGGCAGCGGCTAGCAGTGGCAGGATCACAATAGTGTCATGAGCTGCCCCCAGCCACCAGGCTCTGCTGCAGACGGCCTAGGAAACCACAGCTAAGCCACCTGCGCCCATACCCACGAAGCCCTGCCCCAACCCCAGGAAGCCTGTCATCTGCTGGGAGCTTGGGCCAGTTCTGCCCTCAGAAGAGGGTGCTTGGCTCTGTGCTTCTGCTGAGACCTCATGTTGTGGGGCCTACAAGCCACTTTCTTACTCTAATAGAAGGGCCAAAAGCTGGGCATGGTGGCACAAGCTTGTATATAATCCCAGCACTAGGGGAGGCTGAGGCAGGAGGACTGCCAAGTGCCAGCCCAATCTGGGCAACTTAGCAAGACAAAATAGAAACAGCTGGGATGTAGGTCAGTGCAAAGGTCCTGGGTTAGCGTCCCAGTACCACCCTGCCCAATCAGCTGACTGCTGATGATCTTATTGTATTATTTACACTCAGGTGATTTCTGTTCTTTTAAACAAGGAACATAAATATTTCATGTAATTAAAGCAAATCATTGTGGAAGGTCCACTAACCCCCTGCACAGAGGCTGCCAGGCCTGTGTGGCGCTGTGCTCCGGGCCTGGAACACCTGCCCTCCTTTTGTCTAGAAAACTCCTTCTCACCCTGCAAGGCCCAGCAGGATGTCTCCCCTGCCGTGAAAGCCACCCTGATTTCTCCAGCCCCGCAGTGGTTCTTCTGTTCAGTCCAAATGCCCTCGTTTTGAGATAAGACAATAAACAAGGCCCAGAGAGGGGCTAGGATCTCCTCCGGCCACACAACAAGGTCATGGCTGACTGAGGGCTGCGCTAGAACCCACACAGGGTGGGTGGCCTGGCTCTGAGCCTCTGCTCTGCCACCAAAGGGGGGGACTCCGAGCTCGTGCCCTTCCATGTCCAAGCCTCATTCTGCCTGAAACAGGCAAGGTTCACGTCCCCACCCCCTGCTCAGTGCCCCTGGGGGGCTGGCGCTGGTCACATTTTACGGAACTCCGCCTCCTGCGACAACCATGCAATGAGCCAGCTCTCACCACTGCACTTCCCAGAGGGAAACTGAGGTTCCTGGGAAATCAGGTCCTTCTGTATGTCCAGAGTCACAAATGCTGGGCTTGGGACTCAGGTCCAGATCTGGGTGGAGCTGGAGGCCAGCTGGTTTGGAGGCTATTAACTTACTGGGCATCTGATGGCTGTGTGACCTCCTTTGGGGTACCTGCCCTCTCTGTGCCTATTTCCTCACCTGAACAATCAGGATACAGAGAGCATCCGACTTGTCCAGCTGGTAGGAGGATTATTACATAAATCACGTAAAGCACTAAAGCAGAGCCTGGATAAGATGAGCACAATGTAATACTGGCTGTTATGAAATCATGGACGCATTCGTGAGTTTATAGAGTCTAGACTCTGGCTGGAGAGGAAGCCGGTCCTGGTCTCCTGTCCAAGGTTAACTGTTCCAGCAAAAGTGTCTGCGACGGCCAGGCAGGCCTGCCCTGCTGCACCAGCAACACAGGGAGCCCTCGCCAGACTATAGGGGCCGGCGCATCCTATGGCTGAACTGTGTCTGCCCCAAATTCAGGTGTAGAAGCCTCGGCCTCTAGAGGGACTGGGTTTGGAGGACTCTTTAGGGAAGTCAGATGGATGGGTCCTAAGCTGATAGAACAGGTGTCTTTCATGGTACTGGGGATCAAACCCTGGGCCCTTGCACTGAGCTACATTGCAGGGTTTTTTTATTTTTTACTTTGAGACAGGGTCTCGCTAACTCACTTAAATTGCTCAGGCTGGGCTCACACCCGTGCTCCTCCTGCCTCAGCCTCCCAGAGTGCTGCCATTACAAGCACGCACCACCATGCCTCAGGCTAGGACTGGCGTCTTTATGAGAATTGTATTTCTCTGTCCTTCTGTTTAGCCCTGAGAGTTCAATAAGGACCCAGTGGGTGGTTTTTAGCCCTGGTCCTGAGCTTGCCTCCAAGTCCAAGGGCCAGGCCCAGACAGCATCTCCAGTCCACACCAGGGAGAAGGGCTGTGTTTGGCGGGTTGCCAGACTCTCAGGCTGCCTCCAGGAGCCCCCCTCTGCGCTCGGTGCCCCCAGCCTGCCATGGGAAGAGCGCTGGCTGCACCGGGTGTGGGCCCAAGCTGGCTGTAGGAGATCTGAGCCTCTCCACCAGGGAATGGGCCGCCCCAGTACTTCAGCATGGCCCAGTGTGGAGCTGGGGCTTGTAGCTGAACCACTGTGATGTTCGGGGGAGCGTGGAGGAAGGCACGGGGGAAGCCATAGGCGGGGCTGTCTGCGTCTCCTGGATTATCAAACGGCCACCTCCGCTGCTGGAGGCTGGAGGGTGCTGGGAAGATCTGCTCTGCCATCCACCTTAGTCGGCTCTTCAGGGCAGCAGCCCTGTTCCTGAGGTGCCCCGCCCCAGGCCCGAGGCAATGGAGTCCCTGCATTTCAGCCTGGCCTCCAGCCTGCAGTGGAGAAAAGGGACTTCAGCAAGAGCCCTGGGGCAGGGGTGGGGTTTCTGGCTGCTGGGAGTGGGAAGCAGGTTGTCCTGTTCAATAGGCCCCCACGTAACCCTCAGGGGTGGGAAGCGCCAGGGAAGTGTCCTGAATGAGTGAATGTGGTTCTGTGGAAGGCGGCCACACCGCCTTTGGAGATCAGAGGTTTTTATGTGGCTAACGGGCCCCACACAAGATTCAGCTGAACACGCCTTCTAGGGAGTTAAAATCAGATCTAAAGAAAAACGGTGCCCACAGCCCCGCCCAGCCCCGCCTGCTGGCCCTCCAGCCACGCTCTGCCAAGGACTTTCTCATCTGATGGCCCTGAGTTGCCCACCGTCCTGTGAGACTGCACTACTCACTCCGCACTTGCAGACAGGAAAACCGAGGAGGCCCCGCGGCCGCCCTGCTAGTACAGCTGGGGTCTGAAGCCTGGCCGGGCTGGGAACGCAATGGTTGAAGCTGGAAGGGGCAGGTCAGGGACAAGAGAGGGGCAAGCACCCCAGCCCGGCCGCATCCAGGCAGGGTCAGCCCCGAGGCATGCGCGAGTGACACTGTCTCAGGATGAGGATGCATGCAGTCAGGCTCATGGGGTCAGTCACTCCCAGTCCCCGACCTCGCATCGCTCCTAACACACCTGCAAGCGCCATCTCCCTGGAGGAGGAAGAGGAGGGCCAGAACGAGCAGGTGCACAGCCAGAAGGAGGCCTGCTGGCATCTCATGCCTGCCTGTCCTGGGTGGCCAGCCCAGGGTCCCACCCACATCCGCTCTCACTCTGCACTCTCTGGCAGGTGCATCCCTGGCACCCTCACCTGTCCGCCCAGCCCAGTGAACGAGCTCAGCGCCTGTGAACCCGCTCCTCCCTGCACCACTCGCTCTTCACATTGGATGAGGGGCTCCCTGGTAGCAGGTCAGGAGCCTCTTGAAGGGCTCAGAGCCTTGGCCCCCAGGATCCTGCTGGGGTCAGCAGAATGAGGGGTGAGTGGCTGGAAGGGGCACTCGTCCAGCTCTATTTGCTCACTGGTTCTGGCCCCTGATGGTTACAGATCTCCAGGGGTGGCCACCCCCTCTCCAGGGCCATCGCTCCCTCCATCTTCACCGACAAGGTGGGGGAGTCATTCTACTGTTGCTGCAGTAGCGGGCACAGGTAGGGATTACACCTATAATCCCAGCACTCTTCGAGGCTGAAGCAGGAGGACTGCAAGTTTGCGCCCAGCCTGGGCAATTTAGCAGTGTAGCAAGACCCTGTCTCAAAATATAAACGGGTTGGGGATGTACCTCCGTGCAAAGGCCCTGGGTTCAATCACCAGTATCACAAAACAGAATAAAACAAGGTAAAACAAAACACAGCGAAGCGCCTGCCTGGCAAGCGCAAGGTCCTGAGTTTGATTCCTGGTACAAAAAAAAAAAAAAAAACAACACCTGAGAAACCACACATAGCACACCACAGAGAAGACACAGGAGTTGCGGCTGCAGCGGGGTGGAGCTGACGCTGGTGACGCCAAGCTGTGGAGTCAGGGGCAGACAGGAGAGAGAGGGAGAGAGTTGGTAGAGGGCCAAAGGTTTGCGGTTGACCAAAACCAAGCCAGGGACAGATCTTCCAAAGTGCACGGCCGCAGCTGCCAGGAGGGAACGGCACCCTAAGCTGCGGTTTTCCCCGGCAGTGATCTCTCCTCAGATGAAATCATGTGCCACGCCTCAAATGTGTCCCAGAGCGGTGCGGCAGATGTCGGGGCTGCAAGGCTGGCTGCTGCGTGGGGCTGTTCCTTCTCCTTCCTCCCTCAGGGGTCTCAGTGCTGCCAGGTGAGGGGTGGTCACGTCTGGCCCTTCTGAGAGGCCGTGCAGGGCAGATGAACCCTGAGGGGGCTGGAGAATTCTCCCAGGAGTCGGGCTGTGGAACCCTCCTAGCAAGAGGTCATCCAGGGCCGCCTGATACTGGGGTACGAGAGCAGTGGGGTGCACTAGGGAGCACAGCTGCCCAGGAGAAGGGCTTCTGAGCAGTCCTTTGGGAAGCCAGATGCCACCTGCAACACTGAGGATATGGAGTGTGCCATGTATAAACGTCAGAGTCACTAAGAATGAAGCTCCTGTCACAGCGAGATCATCTAGAGGACTGTCAACCACAGGAAGCTCCCCTCCCACCATGGTACCCATAGGCAATGCCGGCCATTTCTCCTGCCCTGCACTCCTTTTCCTTCTGAAAATAGCACCTGGGTTTTCCCTTCTGGGTACCTCCCGTGGCATATACTCCAGCTGACTTCCCTTGTGACAGGATTCCCCCATCCACTACCCTGATTTTGCCCAGCCAATCAGCATGTTCTGTCCTCTAGCTTGCAGGGATTGGTCAGAGATGGTCACGTGACTCACACCCTAGCCAATGAGCTTCAACCCTAGGACTTAGGAACTTCTGGGAAAAGCAGCCCACCTTCCATTTGAAGCCGAGTTTGAGAGGAGCATATCTGTGTGTTGCTGCTACCATGTGGGAGCGCCTGCCAGGGACTGAAGCCCCCAGGGAGGGACGCAGGGGACACGTGTGGTAAGACATGGTTCTTGGGGGTCTCTTGAACTCTGGATTCAGCTCTGCCTTGATGCCAGCACAGGCGTCTCAGACTGCCAAATTATCAAGATACCAATAAAAAGCAAATGTATAGCCTGTCTTGCTTAATGTGGTTTGGGCTGAGAGTGGGTTCCCAGTCCATGCAGCATCTGACCTCTGCCTGACCCTGGCCAGGGCTTTGCCAGACCTCTGATCACCCTTTGTTTGTGACCCATCACTGGTTCTTGCTTCCCAGGGTAGCAGCTTGCCCTTTCCTACAGTGGGGCCCGTGGGACCCCCAGGCTTCCCTGTTATCTGGCCTTCTGGGTGGTGTTTTGCTGACTAGTGAGACTCCTGCAACGTTAGCTTGGCTGCACTCTTTGTCCCCACCCCTACTGTCCATCACGGACCTTCCATACCCAGGCACACAGCCGCCAAACAATGCATCAGGGTCCTGGGACTCGGCCACTCCTGAGCCTGGACCAGGAAAGGTCCCCTACGGATGGGTCCACAGTCGCAGGGACACCTGCCACAGAGAGAGGCCATGGGGTGTGGCCGGAAGTCTTGGCCCTGATGTCAACCCTGCAGAGGGCCAGGAAGAGGTCCTGAGTCTGTCATCTACCGCAGCCATTCTAAAATGGAGATCATACCACAACTCCCCTCACAGAAGGACCAAAGTCCACAAAAGCGACAGCACCACTCGCTGGGGAGGAGGAAAAGCAACATGAATGCTCACTCTTGGCCCGGGCATGCAGAGTGGTATGGGAGGTACTTTGGAAGTGGAAAACCCAAGTCTACATAAAGCCTGCACAGGAATCTGCATTGCAGCCCTACTCATCATTGGCAAAGCATGGAAGCTACAAAGGTGCCCTTCTGTGAGATGAGATGATCAACTGTGGCACACCTGATGGAATAGTATTCAGCAGTGAAGCCACAGGAAGACTCGGAGGCCCTTGCGGTGCGCCTGCTAAGAAGACCGTTTCTGTGGCTGCCTACTGCACGACTCCAATCATGTGACATTCTGGAAAAGGCGGAGCTATGATCGAGTAAGAAGATCATTGGTTGCAAGTGAGAAGGCAGGGAAGACCAAAAAAATATCAAGGATGGGCTTTCTTGCCAAGCAAGAGGGTCCCCAGTGGCTACCTTTCCCATCTTCTGCGGTAACAACTGTCATTGGGCTGGAAGCCACCAGTAAAAGACTACAGTTCCCAGCCTCCCTTGTGGCTAGGGACATCTCCTGACTACATTCGAACAATGTGAATGGACAAGACCTGTGTGTCCTCGTAGGCAGGAGCAGCATGTTGTCGTCTCCTGACCCCCTCTCTTGCTGGCCAGAACGGAGATGCCAAGCAGGCCATGGGGATCGTGCAGACCAGGGACAACTGAGTCATGAGATAGAAGGACCTGGTATCTGTTGTAAAATAATCACTTTGGCTGAGAATTTCACTTAGAAAAAGCCACCTCTCTCTTGCTGAAGGAGCCATTATTTGGGATTTTGTCACACGTGAGCAATCTCTTATGGTCACTGATGCAGGTACCCACAAGATTGTTCTAAGGATTCCTCATAATATAGGTAAAGCACCTTCACTCACACTCTCATTCATTCATTCATTCATTCAGTGGATAATGGGCCAGATTCCTGCGCTGGGATATAGGGAATCCAACTAAGAACAAGGCAGAGAAGATTCCTGCCTTTGTGACACCCACATGTGCGTGCAGAGAAAACCAGCCATCAGTGTAAGAAGCCACACACGAGGGACTATCACAAGTGCAGGAGTGGTACTGGCCAACAGCTGCTGCTTACCGAGTTCCCGGCTCACCACAGCCGTCCTGGTCTAGGCTCCTTCCATGTATTACCGCGTCTTATCTTTCCCACAAACCCAAGCAGCGGGTGCTCCTGCCTGTCCTTTGACCAGTGAGGAAGCTGAGACACACAGAGGCTGAGAACCCTTTCTGAGGCCACACAGCTGGCAACTGGTAATTCCAGGATTTGCACCCAGGTCTGTCAGATTTTAAAGCCTTGATCACTGGGTCTTCCTGCTCAGGCAAGGCCGTGATTTGGAAGGGTAGGATGTCGTGTGGATGGTTTTGCTTAGCAACAGCAATGGTCTCAACAAAAGTAGCAGAAAACCCCACGCGGAGCAAGCTCAGCCCCCCTTACCTGGGCAGCAGTGTTGAGAAGTCCACCCAGGGGTGCGGCTGTGTTTCTAGAAACCTCGTTCAAGAGGCTCACGCTGCAGCAACAACGGGGCCCAAAGCACTGGCCCCTGCAGGCGCGAGGCGGTCCAGGGGCGCCCACCTGTCGGGAGACACGGAAGGAAGGGCTGTGAGTGCCTAGGAGAGGGATTCCACCAACCCGGTCTGCTGCTCTCCCATTCCTGTGTGCGATGCTCTCTGCATGCCCTGCAGGAGGAGGAAAGACACAAGACGCAGTAGCCTGGCGTCTGCGCAGGATGGGGACCCAACACCAGGCCCGGTGGAACCGGCCCTGAAGCACAGAGAGCCGCCTGGATCCCAGATGCTGCTTCTAGCAAAGTGCCCTTTACAAGGGGGTGGGGAGCTCGGCAAGTGTCTCACGATTTGCTTTGATGGAAAACGTAACTTTCTGTGTCTGACTGAGTGGGAGGAAATGCCACGCCTGAGTCTATTGGAGGAGAGGTCCTTCCCCTATGACAGTGCATTCCTGGGCTGCTCCAGCCAGAAGGACCAGTCATTTTGTTTTTCAACCTTCACGATGAGCAACATCCCCAGCCCTTTGACTGAGGCTGAACAAGGTGTGTGTGTGTGTGTGTGTGTGTGTACCAGGCAGCTGGGAGTGTGGATTCGAAACAGGGGAACCCCAGCCACATGCAGGGCCCACCTCTTTCCAGAAGTGCAGCCCCAGGCAAGTCGGGTCCTCTGGGGTGCCAGTCTCTTCTTTTGTAAAACAGGACTCAAGACAGCGTCTCTCCCCCAAAGTCTGCCGGGGGATAAGTGACTTTCACGAGGCACAAAGCCCACAGGAGAGTGTCTGGCACATAGCGATTGCTCAAAAAATGTTAGGAAGGCGACAGGCCGATTGTGTGTGCGCACACGTGCCCGCGTGTACGCAGTAGGTGAAGCGAGCCCTGGACTGGGACTTTTTGCCGTGTCCCTGCCAAAAAGATCTCCAGACACAGAATCTCCGTGGCCGCAGCCACTCCTCCCCCGGCCCACCTCCTCCCTCTCACAGACCATCTTGGGCCCAACCTGCCTGCAGGACCCCCGACCCCAGGCCCCCAAATGCTCTGCTAGATGCAAATGCCATTAGCGCTCTGCAAGCTGGTGAGCTGATGTCACTGTCAGCCAGAGGCAGCCAGCGTCGGCGAGCGGGGAGCAGGGCTCCCCAGCTTTTCCAGAAGGGATGTGGAAGAGACAGACAGCTTTGGGAAAGAGGTGAGGAGGGAGACGAGACCGTTTTAGCAGCAGGATGCGCAGCTGCTCCGGCTCGCTGTGCCCTTGGTTTCCTAATCTAGGAAAGGGTGCTGGGCCAGCTCTCAGCCTCTGCAGACTCTTGGGGTCCACGCTGAAGCCTGGGACGCAACAGCCCACAGGGACGGAGGCCCAAGAAGGCTCCTCCGCTCCCGCCTCCCTGACAGCAGCAGCCAGGAGGCTTCGTGGCGGGGTGGGGTGGGGTGGGAGGGGAGAGCAGGCTGCTTCAGGCAGAGGCTCTGGGAAGGAGAAGCAGAGATGCCCAGGTGCAGGGGAGGTGGCAGGTGTGGTCGAACAGTGCCACCCTCCCTTCTGAGATACAGTGGATCTCAGCCTACATTAGATTTAAGGACAGAAATTCTCCATCGGTGCGGGATGCTGCCTGAAAACGCTCCCTTTTCACATTGAGGATTGAACCCAGCATATTGCATGAACTACATCCCAGTCCTTTACTGATTGATTGATTGATCAAGAAGGGTTCTCATTGCCAGGCAAGGTGTTGCATGCCTGTAATCCCAGCACTTAGGAGGCTGAAGCAGGAGTATCGCTGGAAGTTCGAGCCCAGCCTGAGCTATATAGTAAATTCAAGGCCAGCCTGAACTACAGCAAGACCCTGTCCACAAAATTTTTTTAAATAATTAAAAAAAGAAAGAAAGAAAAGAAAAAGTCTAAGTTGGTAAGTTGCCCAGGCTGAGCTTGGGATTCTCCTGCTTCAGCCTTCTAGAGATCTGGGATTACAGGCATGTGCCGCCACATCAGGTTGACACTGTTTAAAACAGAAAATAAGCCAGAGAACTCAGGAGTGTGCATGTCACAAGCCCACGTACACGAGAGTACAAGCCAGCCCGCGAAGGCGAGTGCCCTTTGTCTGTGTGGGGCATCAGTGTGTGTACATGTGTGGTCCTAAGCTCGCGTGTGTGTTGCTGGGCCAAGAAATGGCAGGTGGGGAGGACATGGCAGAGAGGGAGCGGGGGCTGGGTGTGGCGGTCCCAGGCCTGGGTCATCCCACAGAGGCCCCAGAAGCCCAGTCAGCACCAAAGCTGCAGCCTGGCCCTGGCTGGCTGACCCTGGGCCACCCACTCCCCAGGCCCAGGCACACGGCTGCAGGCACCGTGGCTCGGCCTGGCCCAGTCCTCCACTCCCCTTCTCTGCAGTCCCTGGGACACCTGGCCGGCAGAGGAATGGACCCTGTAGCAAGGCTGAGCTCAGTGAGCAGGCACCTGCCTTCCGATCCTGCCTGGAACCGGCTACGGGGTTGGGGAAGAGCTCAGGTCTGCACACCTGAGTGACCTCGCAGCTGCCAGGCTGACCGCGAGGGTACAGGAACCAGGGAGCCGTGACAGAGAACCCAACCGATGCTTTTCCACGGTTCTACCCCTGCCTCAGTTTCCCGTGTGTGTGTGTGTGTGTGTGTGTGTGTGTGTGTGTGTGTGTGTGGTGCACTGGGGATTGAACCCAGGTCCTTCACACTGAGCTACATCTCCAGCCCTTTTTATAATTTCGAGACTGCGTCTTGCTCAGTGCTTAAATTGCCCAGGCTGGGGTGGAACTTGCATCTTCCTGCCTCCCAGAGCGTGGGACTGCAGGCGTGCCCGCCACAGCTGGCTTCAGTGTCCCCATCTATAGCACTGAGAACCTCTAAGCTCCAGCACAGAGCTATGCACAGCCCGTGGTGTCTCATTTTCTCTGTGACTCACCGTTCACCCCACAGCCAGACTTTACCTGCCGGTGCCAGGAGGGCCTCTCGGCAGCGAGGAGTGGGGACAGCAGCTGTACGTGTGGGTCACTGACCATGGTGGACTGTGACAGCTCTGCGGCAGGGAAGTACAGGAGGGAGGAGGGGCGATTGCTGGTAGACCACTGAGGCACAGTCTTTCCCCAGGTTTGCGCTGGGCTGATCCCAAATTCAATCGAGAGGACGGGCGTCCTGGGCCCTGGAATCCTGGGGGCCATGAGCATTCCTCATTCAGGAGCATGAACTGAATGTCTGCTGCGTATCGGGCCTCAGGGGCTCCAGGGATGAATGAGGCAAAAATTAGACTTTTGGGGGGAGCCTAGTATCTCAGGGTGTAGGAGGGCTCAGTACCCGGCTGGGAACTCACAGGAGAGAGGAGCCCGGGGAAGGCTGCTGAGAGGAAGGGGCACACATGAGTGTGTGGGACGGGAGGAGGGCACTGTGGACAGAGAGACCAGGCGGGCACAGGCACATGGGAGCCAAGTGTGAGGTGGGCATTCAAGACCCTGCGCCACGGCTGTCCGCTTGGCAGAGGGGGAACTGGGGCAGGAGGGGAAGGCGCGGGCTGATGGCTAAGGTCCATGAATGCCAGGCTAAGGACGATGGGCTCTATCCACAGGCAAAGCGGAGCCACTGCGGGTCACAGGGCAGAGGTTTGCTTCAGGTAGACCGGAAGAACTGTGGAGCCCGGGCAAGTGCAGAGATGATGAGACTGCAGGGAGGAGGAGTGGCTAGGGCAGGCGTAAAGGGAGGACAACAGAGGCAGGGGTGCGGAGGGGGTCTGATGACCAAATGGGGACACGTCTGGTTGTGTTCTAGTTTTGCCACTGCCACCGACTGCGTGGCTTCTAGGAAGTCATTTCTCTTCTCTGGCCTCCATTTCCCCTCTGTGAAGTGGACAAAATAACAGCCACCTCAGAGGGAGGTGGGGTTCAACCAGCTCCCACCTGAGAAGCATCTGGAATACAGTGAGCGTCCGATCTTTGCTTTTAAAAATAGACTTTTGGTTTTATTAACCAGCGATGCCCTTCTTGCTGAAATTCAAGGTCACATAACTGGATAGGATGGGCCGTGCCGGGCCCCAAGCCCCAGGAGAAGGAAGTTACGAGCAAATAAACCTGGGATGGCTCAGGGAAGAGTCTTGATTTTAAAATATTGTGAAAGAAGAAGACTGCTTTATGACTTCTGCACCGTGTGCTTATTAAACCCCAGCTATAAATGTGAACTAATAAGTAAAACGAGTTAAGCTAATGAAAAAAACCAACCTTCAGCCTGGATCCATATTACCTAATGGCGGCCCATAAACATAAACATAAAATTTTAAAATACAAGGATGAATTGCCGGGCTCAGAAGCTCGAGGAACCTGCAATTTCTCTGTCTGACAAATAAACGCCATTGATTTTAGCGGGCCGCTCGCTGCTTATGAGTGAGTCTTCGGGAAGTCATAAAGGAAGGAATTATTTCCAACTGTTTACTCACTGAGGATTGTAGGTATTGAATTTAAACTGTCTCCAATTCCTAATTAGTGCAAACCAAATTAGAATCCAAGTATAGCAGAACTGGAAAGGCCCTTCGAGGCCTTCGAGCTCAGTTTTCTTTGTTTTACGGACCAGGGGCTGGAGGAACAGAGAAGGGGAGCGACTTGCCTAAGTTCACACAGCGACCCGGGCTGCTCCAGTGCCCACAGCCTGCTCTGGTCCCTGCAGCCTCCAGGACCAGGCCTTTGAAGTCACCTGTCCTTGTGTAGGTAGTTACAATAAGGACTTCCCAACCGCTGTAGAAAATAAGCAGCCCAAGAAAGGATGCAAAGCCAGGCGGCTCTGTCTTACACGTGTGGAGTGGACATTCTGGTCTTGCAGCTCGGCCAAGCAGCCCAGCCAGGAAGGAGACACCCAAGGGACAGGAAGGAGACACCTGGGGGCCTATGGTCTCTTCCAGGGGCTGAGGGCTCCCCAGGCCCCTTTATGCCTTCAGTCCCCAAGGCCTCACTGTATGAGAAGCCGGGCTCAACTCTTTCTGGCTCTGCGTCACACACACCTCTGCACGTGCATGCAGGTGCACGCACACGCACATGGATGAGCATGGAAACCAGGGAGCTCCGTGTGGAGCACAT